TGGTGAATGTGACGAGCCGGAAGTGTAATTGCACGAAGGCGCAGCCCATCTTCGGACTCCCGGGGGCCAGGCCGACCCATTGCGCGGCATGCAAGTCGATCGACATGGTGGACGTCGTGAGCCGGAGGTGTCTCTGCACAAAGGCGCAACCCAGATTTGGATTCCATGGGGAGAAGGCCACCCACTGCGCAGCCTGTAAAAGTAGTGACATGGTGGACGTAAAGAACCGGAGGTGTCTCTGCACGAAGGCATGGCCCAACTTCGGACTCCCGGGCGACAAACCTACTCACTGCGCCGCCTGCAAGACGAGGGGCATGGTGAACGTCGTGAGCCGGATGTGTCTCTGCACGAAGGCGCGGCCCAGCTTCGGACTCCCGGGCGACAAACCTACTCACTGCGCCGCCTGCAAGACGGACGACATGGTGAACGTCGTGAGCCAGAAGTGCCGGAACGGGTGCGGCACAATAGCAGGGGACCGGTACAAGGGCTACTGCGTGCGGTGCTTCGTTTAACTATTTCCAGGCGAGAAGGTCTCCCGCAACTTCAAGGTCAGGGAGCAGCACTTCATCGACTACGTCAAGGAGGCCGGTGTTCTGCCGGACCACGCCCAGGTCACCTTCGACAAGAGGCTTCAGGGCGGATGCTCAGCCCGCAAACCCGACATCTTCGTGGACGTGTACACACACACGGTGCTTTGCGAGAACGACGAGGACCAGCACCGCAACTATGCCTGCGAGAACAAGAGATCGATGGAGCTGTTCCAAGATGCCGGCAACCGGCCCCAGGTCCAACTGAGGTTCAACCCAGACGGCTTCACATCAGAAGACGGCGTAAAGCACCCGGCCTGCTTCAAGTACAACACTTTCGGGGTGCCCGTGATCCGGGACCGAGTCGTGTGGGCAGCACGCATGGACGCGTTCCTCGAGCGCCTGACGTACCATCTTACCCACGTGCCGGATCGGGATATCACGATCGAGCACATGTTCTACGACGGTTCTAAGCAAGTAGGAGAGAAACGGAAGAGGGTCTAGTTTAGGGGGCTCCAATGATGGCCACGGACTCGGCAGTTCGTCGAAGCTAATGTAGTCCATCCACCTCCTTGTCTTCAATATGCGATACGGCACCTCCGAGTACCCGTTGATTGAAACCGTGCACGTCTTCACGGACCTGCACCGGATGGTACATGATCTTCCAGCTGAAAATCCTAAACAAACTGTACATTCGTCCAATACTGACTGTTCTCAGCCCTTTGCCAACTCGAGAAGATCCCGTTCGGTAGTCTCTTCCGTTATCTTATACACAATGCCGCTCCCTGGGGTCTTCCCGAAGTACGGCTGTGAAGAGGACCACGGGTCGAGCATTCCTAGAGGTACTTTGACAAACAATGTGTCAACCCATCTGCTCTCTTGAAGATTCTCTTCCTCGTCTGAACAGTACTGCAGGACTGCACAAGCAGCACTCGCTACATCCGGGAAGGCACCATATAATTCCACGTACATAGTATCAGCTCCCCTAAAAGCATCCAGAACAACGATGATATCCATGCTAAAACGCGCCGTACATAATGATTGCGCCCGTCGGAACGCAGACGCAGGTTTCGAATCGTCGACCTGACACACCATAAGCAACGAAAGACCCGAACGCGGACGGCCGTCACGTCCTGAAATAGACCGACCTCAACGCGGCCATCTGCGCATCGGGGACCGCCAGCTTCTGGGTCCAGGCGTACGTCTTGCCATGGAGCCGCTGCAACACGAACCAGAGAGCGTACATCCCGCACTCTCGCCCCCCCGTCTGATGCGCGATCTTCGGCGTGCGAAGAGCGAATTCGCACCCGTGCTTCGTCTCGAGGTGCGCGATAGCTGCGTCCAGGAATGCCCGTACCTTTGCATCCGGCCCGTGCCCGAAGCTATCGAAATATTCTACGCAACGAGCCTGGACGTCGAAGTACACCGCCACGTAATGAAGACCCCCGAGGTTGATGACCCCCGCGAACCTCGTGGGCTGCACCCCCGTCCGAGCCTTCCTGAGTATCTTCAGCATCCGATCCAAGTGGTTCGAATCGTACCAGCCGAGGGGCTTGAAGGTCTTGAATCTGGACCCCAGCGACGACAGGAAGTCCGTCACGCTGTCGGATGTCAACCAGTCGTTCGCGCCGACCGTGAGCACGGGCTTGAAGGCACTCCTCAGCTTCTCTCGCAACGGCCCCGCGATGCCAGCTTCGCCCCCCCACGCCTCGTCGTCGGCGTTCCCCACCACTGTCGCGAGATGCTGGAACAGGGTCGCCTTGGTGTTGTGGGCCCTCGCGTAAGGCCGGATGGTCGCAGCCACGGCCGGCGTAGATCGCTGCTTGATGTCTTTCAGGACGTCCCTCATGAGCGCCATCGAGAGGCACAATACGCCGTTGTGGAACCGCCGCGCTCTTGGGGCGCAACGATGGCTCATTCTTCCGTCATACATCAAGCTTGGCATATTTTCTCCCACGCCCTCTCAGACTCACCACATCCACTCGCGCCGACATCCATGGAGCAATCCTCGAGCCGGCCGTATCTCTGATTGTATCGACGACGACAGATCTTGTCAGACTTCTTATCCTGAACGATTTCATCCCGGGGGTATGGACGGCGATCGGTCATGTCACGCCAGATTGGCTCCTTGCCATAGCGTGTCCTGAGCGCGCGCGTGTGCGCATCGCGCCGCCGCCACCGGCTCATAGCCTATGCACGGCCATAGCCTATTCATGTTGGACCCTTCGTTTATTGGGGTCCATGCATTTTGGCCCCTTTGCATTATTCGCATTTAATGCATGGCGCAACCCTTGACCCCCTCAAGGGGGATACCTTTCGACTTCGCATGCTCCTTCGACGTCCCAAGACTCGTCCAAGTATCTCAGAGGACCAAGA